TTTTATTGATTTTTTACAGAAAGGAAGGGAGAGAGATAGTTAGAAACATCAGTGAGAGAGAAACATCGATCAGCTGCCTCCTGCACACTTCCCCACTGGGGATGTGCCCGCAACCAAGGTACATGCCCTTGACCGGAATCGAACCTGGGACCCTTGAGTCCTCAGGCCGATGCTCTATCCACTGAGCCAAACCGGTCAGGGCAAGATGGGCTTTTATTTTTTACTCACTATAATTTTCTTGTGATCCATCCAAGTCGTTGCATATATAAACACTTCATTCCTTTTTTATTGCTAAGTTGTACAAGGATGCACCACAGTTTTGATTTTTGTTTGTGTTTTTTTAAGCAACTTGTGCATTCAAGGACATTTGGGATATTTCTTGTGTTTAGCTATTATGACTGAAGTTGTTGTGAACATTTGATTATAAGTTTACTCATAACATTTTATTTATTCAAATTATAGGCCATAGATATGAGGATAAAATGTATCATAGCAGGTGGATATTTCCTGAGGTGAAATTTGAGATATAGGGCAAAAGTATAATGCAAAAAAAAGTCCTCCAGGGTCTCTATTTTTTTTCATAATATCTGGTTTTCCTGGCATGATAACGTTTCACTTGGGTTGATAAGAAGAGGTGATGTCCATATCAGTATCTTTGTGACTTTTCACTTCATCCCTAGTCAGCACCATGGAAGGAGAAATAGTGGAGAAATACACTGAGTGGCCAGATTATTATGACCACCTGACGTTTGTAGACAAATTAGCTATAATTTCGCACTGAAGTTGCTAGAGGGCCAGACCATTATAAATAGGGAAGCAGGTTGTTTACCACAACAGTAGAAGTGGTTTTTTCCTGAAGATATGGGTAAACAACACGATTTAACAGCCTTTGAATGTGGGATATATTTGAACGTGAGTGGCCAGATTATTATGACCACCTGACATTTGTAGGCAAATTAGCCGTACACTGCATCGTATGGGATATGGAAGCCGAAGGCCTGCTCGAACACCTTTGCTGTCTGCAGTTACCAAGATAAAACGTCTCCAATTCGCACAGGAACACAAGGATTGGACAGTCGAGCATTGGAGCATTGGAAAAAAGTCATGTGGTCCGATGAATCACGTTTCCAGTTGCATCATGCAGATGGCAGAGTGAGAATTTGGCAGAAACAGCATGAAAGCATGTACCCCACATGCATGAGTACAACCCTTCAAGCTGGTGGGGGCAGTGTTATGGTTTGTGGCATGTTTTCCTGGCATGATTTGGGCCGTTTAATTTGTGTGGAACAACATCCGAATAGCACAACATACCTAAGTGTCATTGCTGATCAAGTTCATCCTATCATGTTGATGGTGTATCCCAATGGAGATGGCTTCTTCCAATAAGACAGTGCGCCATGCCACAGTGCTCGTATTGTGCAGGAGTGGTTTCAAGAACATGAGGGAGACTTTACCTTGCTTAGGTGGCCCCCACAATCACCAGATCTCAATCGAATTGAGCATTTGTGGGACGAAGTTAAAAGAGCCATCAGGCAGCTGGTTCCACAACCATCAAATCTCACAGAACTGAACAGTGCTATTCATCAGGCATGGTGTCAGATTCCTCGCATCACCTTTCAACATCTCGTGGAGTCAATGCCAAGAAGAATCGCCACAGTATTGAAGACAAAAGGTGGCCCAACGAAGTACTGATGGGGTGGTCATAATAATCTGGCCACTCAGTGTATATAGGTTTATTTTTAAAACTCTTATTTGTATTAAATTATGTGGTTCAAACAATAATGAAATTAAACAGATAATGAAAAATCTTGTTCTTAGACGTGACAAATTTATTAATGTTTCTATACACATTATATGGAAAACTTTTCTAAATGTATAACATTAGAGTCCATAAACTACCAAAGATAAATAGTAAACTTTATTTTTTTAGAAATCAGTCAACTAATAACTATTTATTGGAAACTAACTCTGCCCCAGATAAAATAAATTCTTGAGTAGAGATAGACTTTTTAAACTTTCTAAGCATTATTTTTAAAAGTAAATAAAATACCCACAATTGGCAAAATTATAGTATAGTAAATAGATTGATTTAGGTACCAGAGAAAGTACACACAGAAGCTTTTCCCCTTTTTCTGATAATCACATTGCAGAAAATAGCACAGAAAAGCCAAACAGTTTAGTGTTGCTAAATATAATTAATATTTTTATTTAATGATTTTAATAGCTGTATATTATTCCATTAAGTGGTTATACCATATTTTACCTAAACATGTTTCTTTTGAAGCATTTTATATTGCTATAAATTGTTTACTTTTTTTGTTAATCCTCACCTGAAGATATTTTTTCATTGATTTTTAGGGAGAGTGGGAGAGAGGGGAGAGACAGAAAAACATCTATGCGAGAGAGACACAGCGATCGGTTGCCTCCCATACATGCCTTGACCAGGCCCAGGATCGAGCCCGCAACGGGCGTACATGCCCGTGACCAGAATCAAAGCTGGGGCCCTTCAGTTTGTGGGCCAACCCTTTATCCACTGAGCCAAACCAGCTAGGGCTACTATTCTTTATGACTATGAGTTTCTCTATAATTTGTATTATATTCTTAGGTTAGAATCCAAGATGTGAGATACTGATTTTTTAAGTCCTGTTACATATTGCTAAATTGCTTTCCAAAAGAATTGTGTCGATTTATAATATCTCCATTAAAGTGTGGGAGTATGGTTTTACAATGCTTTTATCAACCTTGGGTATTATAATTTTGCTAAGTAATTTGTTTTGGTTTGGGTTACACTTAGTTGCTAGTGATGTTGGGTATCTTTTATGTTTGTTTAATAGCTGTTTTTCTCCTTTTAATTATTATTTATAAAAATTTGAAATGTCACTCTATTTTGCCTATATCTTCCTTACAGTTTCAATGCCCACAACCTGCTTCCTTCACAGTAACTATCCAATTTCCACATGCAATGGTTTTCTCTTGTTTTGTGTCAGACTCCATTAAAATTAAAAATAGATATAACATATCTTGAGTTAAAACACTAGTGCCCTTCGTTAAGTACTTTTCATAAACAATTTTGCTTCTAGTACAGGACTTCCTGCCACAATCTATTTTAATCCCAGAAGACTTGAGCCTATATAAGCACTATTGCTGTTAGCAAATACATCCAGTGGTCGGCAAACTCATTAGTCAACAGAGCCAAATATCAACAGTACTTCTTCAAAATAGACTCGCCCAGGCCGAAAACCTACTTCTGCACATGGGCCATGAAGTTTCAATCGCACTGTACACATGCCCGCATGTGGTGTTTTGTGGAAGAGCCACACTCAAGGGGCCAAAGAGCCGCATGTGGCTCGCGAGCCACATTTTGCCGACCACGGACATAGGCTATGTCAGAACATAGACCTTCATTTATATTGAACTTCTAATTATATATTTGCCCTTGGTTTTAAAAAGCAAATAACTCACTTTAGGTGAAGAAAATTTCCTTCTAGTTGACTATCATATAGTAGGCTAAAAGCAATAATGTTACATATATACTTTTGTGACCTCAGGGTGTAAGTTAGGTAAATAACTCTCTTAAACTAATGGGACCTGGCTCATTATTCAGAGGCCAGTCTCAAGTGACTTATTAGTATAGCAGTAGACTCATAAAAATTTTTAGATTAACTGCTTTAGAAATGGCAAAATGTACAAATAAAACACTATGGGTTTTTTTTCCATTTTATTTTTCAGGTTTACAAGTAAAAGTAACCAAACTGAAAAAGGAACGAATTTTGTAAGTATCAACATATAACACTAATGTCTTATTTATAAAGTAATTGATACTGATGATCTGTTTGACCTCAGTGTATTATTTATAAGGAAATTAGCTTTGCTTAGTGTAGCTAGTTGACAGCAAGTTTTTTAAACTTCCAAAGTAAAAAGAATAACTTGATTTTTAGTATAGTCTTAGTTAATATTTTCATATATTTATATTTTAATACAATTCTGATATATAATCTTTTTTCATAAAGTATTTATTAAGATGGGAAACTATCTGTAAGTTCATTTTGATCTGTCAACAGCATTCTTTTCTCAATTGTGATTAACACCTGGAATTTAACCTCAGAGGGAAGGTAGGGGAGGGTAGGGATAAGGGGGAGAGATCAACCAAAGGACTCGTGTGCGTGCATATAAGCCTAACCAATGGACACAGACAACAGGGGGGTGAGGGCATGAGTGAGGGGGGTTGGGGGGGTAATGGGGGATGAGGACACATATGTAATACCTTAATCAATAAAGAAATTTAAAAAATAAAATAAAATACTACAGGAAGGGAAACAGAATAGTTCTGGGATTTCTAAGCTCATATAGGAAATGGGAACTAGCCCTAGCTGGTTTGGCTCAGAGGATAGAGCATCAACCTGCGGACTGAAGGGTCCTGGGTTCGATTCCAGTCAAGGGCATATGCCGGGGTTGCAGGCTCAATCCCAGTGTGGGGCCTGCAGGAGGCAGCCAATCAATTATTCTCTCTCATCATTGATGTTTCTATCTCTCTCTCCCTCTCCTCCTCTTAGAAATCAATAAAAATATATTTAAAGAAATGGGAACTAAATAGTCTACATCCCTTTTAATTGGTTCAAAATTACCAGTGGTTCTGAATTGTTTTGGTTGTGAAGCCCAGAATCAGATCTGATTATCTAAGTCAAGAGCAGATTTTTACTCATGATTCTATAGAGCTTCCACATTCAGGAATCTGAAACAGACATATAGTAGAATATTATTACTTAATAACAAAAATTAATGTCATTGTGACTAATATTGCATTTGCTTTATGGTATATACCAGTGGGTCTCAGTTACTTCATATTTCTAAAGCTTCCAAGGCTGTAGCCAAAAGCTAGAGTTTGCCAAGCACCCATCAAACACACCTAGTTGTTTTTGCCATTATAATCTGAAAATTGCAGTTTTTCTTTACACCTAGAAAGTCATGTTAGAAGATGACTTAGATTCAAATTTGTAAAATCATAAATTTTTTAAATAGTTCTTTTGAAGAATAATTTTATGATTCTCCTTAGTTAGTGACACTTTAAAATGTTTTGCATTGTTGAAAGTATATATATATTCTTACCTTAAATATTTTTTTGAATTTTTTAAAAGATTTTAAAATTGATTTAGAGAGAAAGAGAGAGAGAAACATCGATGTGATAGTGAAATATCAATGGGTTGCCTCCTATACAGCCCTCCCCCCACCCCCGGGGCTCGAGCCCACAACCCTGGACATATGCCCCAACCAGGAATTGAACTGGCAACACCTCTGTGCACAGGACGATGTCCAACCAACTGAGCCACATCAGCCAGGGCAAAGATATTTTTTTAAACATCCTTACTCATAGGATAGTCCATTTCTCTGTTTCTGTGGTAGTTATGTTTAGTTTCTACAAAAGAGAAAATGTTTCTTTACTTACAGAGGAAATAAGAGAAATTATTTCTGAGTAGTAAATTTAGGATATGCATCTTATTAGTTAGGATAATTTCTTACTGTGAGAAAAAAAACACCAGATGTGACTTTTACAGTAAGGAAAACATATTCTTTCACATAAAAGACCCGAAGCTGGGAGATTCTAGAACTGGTTATTCATTGGTTCAAAAATCACCAGAGACTCAGGTTATTTCTGTCTTTTCTATTCTCTGCCACCTTTAGTGTTTTGGCTTGTCCTATTAGCCTTCATTGCAGAATGTCAAGATGGCCACCATCATTCTAGTTACCACTTGCAGATCCTCCTTGTATCCCTTTCTACTAAATATAAGTTTGCCAGAAGCAGCCCCCAGTGGATTTAACTCTGACTCAGTGATGATTATTGTGTGCTCATTCCTAAACAGTACCTGGCAAGGGGAATTAAATTCACATGATTCACTTAGAGTAATAAAGATTCTGATCATACTTTATATGTATTCTAGGATTGAGCAAATAAGTAAATACATTATTGACAGGTTGCTCACTACCAGGAGAAAGGAGTTACAAATAAGAAAAAAGAGAATGCTAGAATGAACTCTATGCTGCTAGATAGAATTGTAGTTATTAGTATGAATTCGTGGGTTTTGATATATAGATGAAAATACAGATATGTGTTAATGTGTGTGAGGACATACATGTATTTTCTAGGCCTGATCCACTAAGAGGGTCTAAAAACAGTGATTCCCAGCAGTAATGAGCACACCCAAGGCCCAGATCTTGATTTCTAAAGAGGATTCTACAGTAAAATCAAGGGTTTTTTTTGGAGAATTTGGCTGATATCAGGTCTTCGGGGCATGCAAAGTACAATATGAGCTGGAACTTCTTGTGGTGCCAGAAAATAAGGAAATGTTCAAAAAGTAATGGAGGCATGTTGAAAAAATACAGAAGAGAACTTAAAAAAAAAAATCTCTCGCCCTAACCTGTATGGCTCAGCGGATAGAGCGTCGGCCTGCGGACTCAAGGGTCCCAGGTTTGATTCCAGTCAAGGGCATGTACCTTGGTTGCGGGCACATCCCCAGTAGGGGGCGTGCAAGAGGCAGCTGATCGATGTTTCTCTCTCATCGATGTTTCTAACTCTCTATCCCTCTCCCCTCCTCTCTGTAAAAAATCAATAAAATATATATATTTTTTTAAAATCTCCTAATGGCAAAATCAAGAACAGCCTGAACAATGAAATATGATGGTAATGAATTATTCTACCCATGGGATAAATGGACAGTTGTTTTTTAGAATTTCAATTACTAATTGTAGAAAGAATATTTAAAAATCATCATTTGGCAAAAATGACAACAGTAATTGTTGAAGGCAAGAATCATTGAAGTTAAAACTAATAAAAGTATAATGAAAAATTATAATTGTAAATTTTTCAAATTACTCTAAGTTTATCTCCCACATGATACTTAATATTTGCAAAGGGGAAATTGTAATATTACAATGGAGGAACCAGGCAGACTTCATCTTAATGAAATGGTCAAAGTGAACATCATTAGTAATCAGATATGTCAACCTCATATCATGCAATGCACCAAGAAGAACACATTACTTCTGTTGTATTCTTATCAAAAATACACAGTCCAGATTTTATCATGGGAAACATGAGACAAACCCAAGTTGAAGTACAATCAACAAAATAACTGGCCAGTACTTTTCAAAAGCGTCAAGGCTATGAAAGACGAAAATGATGGAGAGACTGTCCCAGTTTGGAGGAGACATGACATTAAATACAATGTAGGATCCTGAATTGGATCCTGGACCTGAAGAATATTAGAGGGACAATTGGCAGAATTTTAATAAGGCCTACAGATTAGTTAATAATACTGCATCAATGTTAATTTCATGATTTTGATAATTATGGTTATGCAAGATACTAACATTTTGAGAAGCTGGATGATAGGTATGGAGGTGCTCTTTGTTCTGTTTCTAACTTATTTTTAAGTCTGAAGTTATTTTAAGATAAAACATTAAAACAAAATTTTCAAGATTTATATCTTGAGTCCTGAGAGAAGATCAACTTTTCTGTAAGCAGCTGCTGAATATTGAAGAAAATCTTTATTCTTTAAGCAAATAATAAAGAGAAATGACTGTTGGATAGGCAACCAAAAATGTAACTACAGTTAGATTAGTCCTTTTTCTGTGGCTGAGAGAATAGTAGCCAATGCACCTATTTCCTTTTGCACAAATTTTGTTTTGCTTCTGTGGGCAGTAGGGATTTCAAAACCTTTTCATCTTTTAATGCTCTTTAATTAATATTGATGATATTAAAACTGTATGTATGAATGCTCCCTATAATAAAATGTATCCCAAAAATAACTAATGAAATTTCATTAGTTGCATGAGGAAAATACATAATTTTCTTGGTTAATAAGTAAAATTTATTTTTTCTATCTACTTGAAAAGAAAGGGACAATATCTTCGTTTCACTTAAAAATAAATAGGATTTTCTTCAGTGATAAAAACCATTTCATGGTTTCAAGAAGTAAAATTAGATAGAAGATGGCAGCATAGGTAAACACCGGAGATTGCTGCCGCAAACAACCACTTCAAAAATACAACTAAAAGACGGAATGGATATCACCCAGAACCACAGGAAAGCTGGCTGAGGAGAGATTCTACAACTAGAAGGAAAGAGCAATCCATACCGAGACTCAGAGGAGGCGCAGTGCAGAGGTGAAATACTAAGGTTCGGAGTGCATGTGGAGTGGGCCTGCGGCGGAGGGCGTGGTTGGTTGTTGTCTTCAATTGGGAGGGAGTTTCAGACTCTGAGCTCCAGATCCGGGCGAGTCTCTAGGGAC